CAGCAATTAAAATACATGAATCAGGGCTACAAGTGTCAACATGAATTAACTCTTAACATGGAACATAAATTGGGAGAGCACAGTTGTGTCTGTGTATTACTCAGGGGCCTCCAGAGAAGCAGAACTAACAGGATATAAATATCAGCAATAAGTTTACTATGGGAATTGGTACTTGAGATTATTTAGGCACAAATCACACAGTCTCTTGCCTGTGGGCTACAGATCCAAGTTCAGGTGTTGTTATCATTCTCTGAATTTAAGGGCCAGGCATTGGGGCAGAATGCAAGTCTAGTTCAAGGAGAGAGAGAGAGAGAGTGAGCGAGAGAGAGAGAGAGAGAGAGAGAGAGAAGCAGAGACAGAGATAGAGACACACAGAGACAGAGAGACCAAGATAGAGACAGAAAGATATAGAAAAGTAGAGAGACAGACAGAGATAGAGACAGAGAGAGACTGAGAGACAAACAAAGAGATAGATAGGGAGACAGAGATAGAGAGCGAAACAGAGACATTCAGAGATACAGAGAGAGAAACAGAGACAGAGAGATAGAGGCAGACAGAGAGACAAGACACACACAGAGAGACTGCCTCTTCTTGTTATTCCCCGATACTCAGTCTTGAGTGATGTTCACCTGTACTGATGGAAGTAAATATTCTTTACTCTGTCTGCTAATTCAAACATCATCTCTTCAGGAAGCACACTCAATACACGTGAATATATTTATTATCTACCTGGGCCCATTTAACCCAGTGGAGTTGACACATGAAATTTCAAAACAAAAAATGGGGGTGGTGGTGGTGAGCAAGATGGCTTAGTGGATAAGGCCACTGACTGAAAAGCCAGTCCTGACACAAATGGTAATGGTCCTGTTATTCAGGCTTGAGGGGAGTTTATTGTTGAGGTTAAAAGTAACTCAAAGTCTTGCCTAACGTGAAGCCCCAAGTGTGGTCTTTAACACTGCGTATACATCTGTGCAACACCCAGTACTGGGAAGCAGAGGAAGACAGACCACGGTTCATGGTCATCAGCTACATAGTAGGTATAGGCTAGCCTGGGATACATGGGTCTCAAAAAAGAAAAAAAAAATCAAGCACATCTTTAATCCCAGCCCTGGGAGGCTGGTCAGGAGGACTGCTGTGAGTTTGAGACAGTCTGGCCAAGAAAGGAAAACCCTACCTGGAAGCAATACAAATGAAACCAGTAATATAAACAGATATTTTTTTTTTGTTTTAAATGCTTTAAGAATACAGAATGAGCTTGGCACTCTTGCATGTGCTGTCCTGTGCAGTACCAACCAAGCCCTGGGATTTATGCACCTACTGGTGAGCCCAGGAATCTCGTTAAGAGTCCAGCCCAGCCTATACTTCTTCGTCATTTCTAGGGTCCTGCTTTGTGTAGATAAAATGCTTAGTGTTTTACATGTGTTATGTCAGAATACTTAAGGAACTTGCCTAAAGTTACAGGGAGAGTGGACAATAAGATTGTCATGTATGGCCGGGCGGTGGTGGTATATGCCTTTAATCCCAGCACTTGGGAGACAGGCAAGTTTCGAGGCTAGCTTGGTCTACAGAGCAAGTTTCAGGACAGCCAGAATTGCACAGAGAAACTCTACCGGCAAAAAAAAAAAAAAAACAAAAACAAACAAAAAAACCCAAAAAACAAAACAAAACAAAAACAAACAAACCCAAAAAACAAAACAAAACAAAAAAAAAAACAACCAACCAACCAAACAAAACAACCCAAAACAATCGACTGAACACAGAGACTGTCTTCTGTGGTTCTTATCCCCAGACCTTTCTTATTATCTACTTTTTTTGTTTATTTGTTTTGTGTTTTGGTTTTTCAAGACAAGGTCTCACTACACAGCTCTGACTGTCTAGGAATTCACTGTGTAGACCAGGCTGGCCTCAAAGTCATAGAGACCCACCTGCCTTTGTCTCCCAAGTGCTGGGATTAGGGGCATATACCATTATACCAGGCTATTTACATTATATATATTTTTTGTTTTTGTTTTTTTGGGGGGTTTTCGAGACAGGGCTTCTTTATAGCTTTGAAACCTGTCCTGGAACTAGCTCTCGTAGACCAGGCTGGGCTCGAACTCACAGAGATCCTCCTGCCTCTGCCTCCCAAGTACTGGGATTAAAGGCGTGCGCCACCACCACCCGGTTATATACATTTTTTCTTTTTTTGTTTTTCGAGACAGGGTTTCTCTGTGGTTTTGGAGCGGTTATATACATTTTTAAAAAAACAGTATGGACATTAATAGATGTATGTACACATATCACTATGTGTAGCGTATGTTCTATATATTAGACATTTTTACCTAAAACACACATTTCGCCTCAAAATAAGTTTTGGAAAGCTTTACATGCCAGGAGTTAACCATCTTCATTTTAGAACTACTACACAGAATTCAAATGTGGGACCACACACAGTGATTTCACTTTCTCTTCCGTGATGGACGTTAGCAATGCCCTCTGAGACAGTGGGAAGAGGAACGGCCTAGAGAAGTCAGTCTTCGTTGGTGAGAGGGCTGGTGCATTTTCAGCTTGACAGATACAGTCAACCTCCCTCCAAAGAGACGAAGAGATGTTAGGTTCCCATGCAGGTGCCCCTCGCATGCAGCCCTACAGTCAGGTGCTAAACTTCCCACCCACTCACCACCAGTTGCTACCTCAACCAAGAGTGGGCATGTCTCCCAGTGGGAAGCCATATGTGTTTGTAGGAAGAATAAGAAAGTGACCCATAGATGATCGGCTTGTCCTTGGAGGAACTTTGTTAAGAAAGAAAGAAAGAAAGAAAGAAAGAAAGAAAGCAGCAGACTGAGGGATTCACCAACGATGGAAAGGAAAATATTTAATAATCCATGGTTAGAACACAAAGCAAGATGTCCTTGTCTGAGGCCCTCTAGCCTCAGAAAGGCTAGAGCCTTTCTTCTAAGCCAGGCATTAATTTCCTAGTATCCAACTCTTTTTGCTTTATTTATTTATTTTTTCAAAACAGGCTTTCTCTGTGTAGCCTTGGCTGTCCTAGAACTTGTTCTGTAGATCAAGCTGGCCTCGAACTCACAGAAATCTGCCTGCCGCTGCCTCCTGAGTGCTGGGATTAAAGGTGTGTGTCACCACTGCCCAGCGAGTTCTCAGTCACCAGCCCCCTCTCTGCACAGGCAGAGGTAATCAACCACAGCAGTGTGTATTGGCTGTAAGAGGTGCCAGCAGGAATGATCCCTTAGATGTAAGGGGTGGTAGAGGCAGAGGCGCTCTTGTGGACGGAGGGCGGGGAGGTGTCTGGGCTCTAAGGCCAGTAGAGCTATCACCTCCTTTCTCTGTATATATGCCTTTTTACATCCTCTTTATAGGCGTCCTTTTCCTTGTCTGCCCCCAAACAGACTCATGGATCGGAGGTAAATTTATTCAGTTTGAAGGAAACATCAAACTGGTCATGTTTAGAACATGAGACACCCCCGCCAATCCCTTCCTGTTCCATTTCCCCCCCTATTTTGAGAGGACCAGAAGGTAACATACCAGGTTGTTCTATTTTTTTTTCTCCGTATTGGGTTGGGAGGATTGAAGAGCTGACTTCAGACCCTGGAGCCAGCCTCCACGAGGGACCTGCTTTTGGGGTCTTAGGCTTCCCTGAGCCTTGCTATTAGGGTGCTCCTTACCAAGACCCCGAGGATCCAAGCAAGAATTCAGCAGGATCTATAGCCCATAGATAGACCTGGGTAATTTGGGACCTGCTTGCTAAGGGAGAGTTTTCCGATGTCATACACTGTTGAGTGCTGGGCTATGGGCCACTGCTGGAGGCCTCTGTGTGTGTGGGGGGGAGGGGGGTGTTGGGGTAAAGGTGGTTACTGAACTTCCAGAAGGCGGGCTCCATAGTGTAGTCTCTACACACTGGAGACTTCTAAGAGCTTAAGGTGTCTTTAGCCCTGCCCATGGAACAAGGATGAAGAAGATGCCGTCTTTGGCCTCTGCCTTTCAGGTACGAAGGTCCTTTGGCACCATCTACAGATTGAAGGCAAGATAGGGCCAGTTCTTCCCCTTTGCTCTCACTTCAGTTTGCCACTCCCGCAGGCTCTCTCGGCTCTTTTCTTTTTTTAATTTTTATTTTTTGACTGACGTGCTTGAAGGGTGTTGGAAACCGTGGGGTCCAGGCCCCATAGAGAATCGTTAAGGAACAGGAACTCAACTGGAGCTCCTCAGATGCCTGAGGTCACCTGGAAACAAAGAGACCATTTATTTTTTTCCTTTGGTCTTCGGCTACGAAGAGAGAGCGCTTTGTCTCTTATAGAAAGACAACAAAAACTTAAACAAAACAAAACAAAAAATTCAGCTCTTCCAGAGAGCTTTAAAAGACCCAGAGTTCCCAACACTTTGCGGGTAAAGGCTCCAAGACACCAGGGGCCCATCCTCAGCCGGTGGGGAGGTGGGAACAACACATCTGTCCTTCGGTTTATATATAGCCTCATCGCTGTGGGGCTCCGTGGTGGCCCCCAGAATCTTGCTCACCTGGAGGGCGCTGGGCGCCCTCATCCAGAGGGCGCTGCAACCTAACACGCAGGGGACCTATAATCGCCCTTCTCCAGGGCAGCGCTTCAGTACTCCGGAACAGGCCGTAGTAGTAGATGCATCTGGGTCTCCATCAGCCACGCGTCAAGGAAGACACCACACGGGTATCACAGATAGCCCGCACCAGTGCTCAGGGAAAGAAGGCAGGGCTCAGACCCGCGGGAGCTCAGGAGTGGGGTGGGCTTCGATCCTAGGAGGCGTGGAAGGGGTGGGGCGCTCCAAGGGGGCGGGGCAGTCAAGAGGGCGGGGCCAAAGGGGTGGGGACTGGGGCTACCCAGGCCCGCGGAGCTGGGGGTGGGCGGCTAGTTTTTGCAACGGCCAGGAGCCTGTGGGTTTATTATAAGGCGGAGCTCGGCGGGAGAGGTGCGGGCCAGAGCAGACAGAGCCTGGCGCAAAGGAAGGGATCTGGCAGTTGGAAGCTGACTCCAGCCGGAGGAACCTGCAACCCTCGCTCAGGACAGCAGCGTGCTGGGCAGGCGTTCAGGACAGCAAAGCGCAGCGCAATCAGTAGAGCGGTCCCGCAGCTCCGCGCAACCCGCAACTCCGATCCGCGCAGCCTGCCGAGCTCCCGCCGCTGGTCTGGGAAGCATGAGGCGCGCGGCGCTCTGGCTCTGGCTCTGCGCGTTGGCGCTGCGCCTGCAGCCTGTCCTCCCGGTGAGTGTGGCCCGGGGCAGGGCTGGAAGGCGGCGGGAAGCCTGGACTCGCCACCCGCCGATGCCGTGCAGGCGGCGGCACGTGGAGGGGGAGGGGAGCGGGACTTCTTCCCGCGCTGCCTGGCGGATCCAGGGATGGTGAGCCCTTAAATAAGGACTCCTCTCCCAATTCCCTCCACGGTCCGTGGGTGCCGCGCGAGTCCCACAGCTTGTGGTAGGGGCTGGGGCGTCCCGCAGAGTGGAGCCTTCACTGGTTCCCGGCTCCCAGTTAAGTAAAATGACTCCACATGGGTCTGAGTCCGCCGGCCTGTGGCGGCGCCTGGAGTCACTCTCTCCCGTGGCTGTCTCGCTGGCCACCTCAGCGGCCTGGCCTCCGCCAGTGACCCGAAGGGATGCAGTGGCCATGGCCACAACGCCCTTTCCGCAGACCCTAATTCAAACCAGACTGCGTCGGCTGCGCCCCCAGCGCCGGGGAGCCCGGGCGCCCGGCCCTTTGCACCCGGACAAGTTTGGGCGCAGCAGAGCCGGCGTGGGAGCGGGAGGGGGCGGACGTGCGGGTTGCCGGAGGGACCGGGATCAGGACTGTGCGTGGGACACAGGAGGGTGGCGTGGGGCCCTTGAGTTTTTCTCTGGCTGTCCCAGGTGAGCTGGGCCGAGCCGGCAGTGGGAGACTCCGGGAAGTTGGCTTCACAACGCTAAAGATCCTAAGAACCTAACTTTGGGGTCGCTGAAGTTGTGCTGCCCCCCGGAGGGCCTCCTCCGCATGGCCGGCGCTGGGGACCCTCCCCGCGAGTGGACCCCGGTACGGCTCTTCCCCTCCCCCGACTCGGCTTTGTGCTGAAGCCGCGCGCAGGGAAGGCGGGTCCCTTGGCCCGCCCAGTAGGGCCGCGGGGAAAGAGGGACGAACGTGGAGCTGGCGATTGGTGGGGGGAGGCCTCTGAGTAGGATGCAGCCATCCACCTTTGGCGGGGGTCGGTCTCTCTAACGAGCGACTTGGCCGACAAAGAGCTTGTCGAGGGTCCCCAGAAAGTGCTCTCCCGCCCCAGACGCCGTCCGCTAGCCCGCCTTCCCCAACGGGGGCGCTTTGTTCTCAGCCCCTATAACCCTTCCCTGGGAACCGCCCCGCAGCGCCGGCCCTTGACGTGGGCTGGGTCCCGGGTCGCCGCCAGGTGTCAGCGCTGCCCGCCGGGTGTCCACGCCCCTAGCCCCCGCACCCACTATGGAGTACCGGGGGTCCTTTCGACTGGCCGGCTTGACCATCCCCCTGAGAGGCAGAGACGAGGTGCCGAGCCTCAGGCTTTATCCTTTCCGGAAGTGGCAGTCTCCCACCGCCACATCTGGTCTGCTTAACTTCGATAGTCCTGGCTAAGAGAGGCACGTGCACAGGGAGGGAGAGCTGAGCGCTGGTAGACACCCAGGTCGTGTGCATATCAAGTGGCACCTGGACACATCCCCGATCACTGCTAATGGGCATTGTCTTCGCCGCTTCCCAGGTGACTCCATCACTCTGGAGTCCGAGAGGACCTCGATACCTATCAAATTGCAAATGAGTTGGGGGGCTGTAGGGTGCTGAATCAAGGTTCTCAGGGAGGGATATGGTTTCCAAACTGAGTCTCCGTTGCACTCCCTGCTTTAAGGTCCAAGAAATTGCTCTTGAGGGTTGTGGTTTCTGTGGGACTCAGATCATGCCTGGAATCAAAGTTACCACTGTGGAGAAGAAAGTGGAGCCGCTTGGCTTGTCTCCCTGACCCGCCTGGCATTACCTCCTCCAGCCCGACTCTCCAGGCCCAATGTGAGGCCTCACTGGGGCAGTAGAGATGCTGTATTGCATTTCTTTGCAGCCAGGATCTGAAGAGGTGTCGATCGCTTTCCTGCTGTCTTTGGTGAGGCAGATATTCCTGTGAACTAGGGCCCTCAAGCTCCCGTTATCACGGCTGGGTAGGCAATTGGCAGCCGTTTCTCTATGGACTGTGTTTCCTTTCTGGCCTGGGAGCTTGAGCCCTCTAGGCAGACCCAAGGTGAGAGACCTCCAGACCTGGGAGGGCTTCCTGGAGGAAGGGTTTGAGCTGATTCTGAGCTCAGTCACTGTCTGAGCTTTGGGGACAGACTCCTACTTGAAGACAAGGGTGTACTCTTTGCTTCTTATTTTATAAAGTTGGGTTTGTTCTCTTCCATAAAAAACAAAAAACCATGTTGGGTTAGAAGTGGGTACGTAAGACTGAGGGCATTTCCAGAGCGTCCCCCCCCCCCCCAATAACGAAAGCAGTTGGGATTTGCTTTAAATGGAAGCAGATACCCAGAGGTTGCCAGAGATCTTGTCCCCTTCCGAGGGCTCCCTTAGCTCCTGTGGGAAGCAGGTCAGAACACCTCTGGGGACCAGTGAGTGGGACAGAGAGTGCCTGTTGGGTGTCTGCCTTTGAATGGGCCAGGGGAGTCTGCTGTGAACCACTCCCCAGAGACTGCAACAGGTTTGTCTAAACTGTCCCTCAGTGTGTGTGTCCCCAAGGTCTTTTGTTTCAGCTATGTAAGGAAAAAAAGTCACTCTGAAATAGTTCTTTGCTGTTTTTTCTTCTTTCTTTCCTTAATTATTTGGACTAGTAGAGACATTTCCCCTGAGGTCTGGCAGAGTGGGAGGGAGGGGGGGAGGATGGGCCCAGCCTTTGGAGGTGATGTCACTGCTGGCTTCAGCTCCCCAGAGAGGGTGGAGCTGGTTTTAGCCTACCTGTGGCTCCTGATGGGCCCCAGTAAAACCTCATTAACACACATTGGTGGGGAGCAGGGCCTGGAAAGAATGACAGGAAAACTTGGTTTTTGCAGTACTTTCTAGACGCCTCCATCCCCCCTCCTCCCAGAGCTGCAGCAGAATTTGGGATTCCTGAAATCCTCTGAGAATGTATCATCATGGTAGTCAGACGCTTTTCCCTGAGTTAAAATCGCCTCCTTACAAAGTATCCTTTTTTGTTGTTGTTTGGAGACAGGGTCTCGGTTATTGTAGCACTAGCCGCCCTGGAACTCACTGTTTAGACCAGGCTGTCCCGGAACTCACAGAGATCCACCTGCTTCTGACTCTTAAGTGCTGAATTTTTTTTGTTTGTTTGTTTTGTTTTGTTTTTCGAGACAGGGTTTCTCTGTAGCTTTGGTGCCTGTCCCGGAACTAGCTCTTGTAGACTAGGCTGGCCTCGAACTCCCAGAGATCCGCCTGCCTCTGCCTCCCGAGTGCTGGGATTAAAGGCGTGCTCCACCACCGCTTAAGTGCTGGATTTAAAGATGCATGCCACTACTTCCTGCTTTTACAAAGCATTCTTTCTTGGAGCAGAATTCTGAAACCCTTATTTCCTCTCCGTTATCCTCAACAATAAAAGGCTAGTTGTTTTTAATCCCTCATGATGCCAGGTCAAGCAGTCTCCTGGTTCTGTGCGGCTCTGCAGAACACGGTGTCCTCGTGCCTGATGGTCTTTACTCTTAACTGCCCCTTTCCTTCTTATACTCTGGTAGTGACACTGGTGTGCCCAAGCGCAAACACATTTTCTCTTCAATTCTGGTTTATTTTCTTTAGCAGGCCGAAAAACAAATCAGATTGGTTATAATTCTTACAAGAACAAAGGTCTCACCTTTGGGTGACTCTCAGGCTGTGTGAATTTGATACCCCTCATGGATCTCTGTTGAGGTCGCTGCAGTGTGGTGGTAGACTGGACAAAAGGGAGCTGTCACCCCTACAGTCTTGGACCTGGAGTGATGTGGAGGCACTAGCTAGGTGAAGGACTTAGGGACCTCCCTCAGTGAAGACGTGTACACAGTGCCAGGAAGCATCCGTGAGCATGAGCCCCGGTTCCCTAGACGCCTCTCCTCTTTGAGTTTTGGGCTCCAGCTACCTCGGACTAACAAGGCTAGCTCACTCTATGTGTTGATTAGCAAAGGCCTTTGTTTTTGTTTTGAGACCGATTCTCAACTCTGTGGCCTAGCCTGGCCTTGATGTCTTAGCCATTCTCCTGCCTCGACTTCCAAAGTGCTGACATGACACACATGAGCCCACCGTGCCTGGCTGGGACTCTTAGCTTTGGTCTTTTCCCCCCTTCTCTTCAGCGTATGTTTCTAGTCTGTGTTCTACACAGTTGAGCCCCCATGCTGTCTGGCAGGTCAGAAACAGCTTTGGATCAAGTAGCACCCCATACTGAAGCTCAACTCTGCCACTAATTTACTATGTAATCTTAAGTGACTCACTTTCCACTCTGCCCATCCTCGTCCGCAGGACAGACGTTGCCGTACCTGTTCTTTCTGCCCTCATTCTGTCATTTCCTCAGAGATGGTGTGAAAGTGCTGGTACTGAAAGTCCCGAGGAAAGACAGCTCTTGATACTAGTTAAGGTTACCTTTGATTGCGTGCTTGCTGCTTTTCCTCCTGTCCAGCTCAGTCTTTCCTCCTCAGCCTTTATGATCCACACCATCGCCTCATCTTTTGAATGGGGAAGAAACGGCTTAGAGAGGCCAGCCCTCCACAGAGAGGAAAGTGGCAGAAACAGGCCTTTTGGTATGAGGTTGCTTGTGTGTGCTTGCGTGTATATGTATACACTTAAGTATATGTATGATATAAATATGCTGTAGCGTTGTCAGTGCCTACAACCTCAAGACACCCTGCATATGAGGTCTGGCTGAGCCCTGTGAGGCCCTGCCTGGTGTTTCCAGGTCTTACTTGGTTGTGAGCACTTTGTGTAGAGGGGGCACTTGGCTGGACTGAGTTGGCCTACACTGTGCCTTTGGGCAAATCCTGGGTACTGGGCAATACCCTGGGCCTTGGTTGGGTGTACCTGATGGTTGCTTGGGTACAGGCAAGAGCTCTTCATAGAAAGGCAAGGTCAGGAGACAGCAGTGGAGTCCTGACAGTGGGCAATATGTACCCTAGGTTACACAAAGTTCACACGCTGTTGACTGAATGCCAAGGAGTCTGTCTGGGCAGGGCATGGAGGACACACAGATTTAGCAGAACCTTTGTAAGCCCTGGGGA